CTTCAATTCAACTCGTAGGCGCATTGGACAATGGACATTGTGTTGGACATTTTTAATTTAATGAGCTAAACTTTCTTTTTGTTTAAATCAAACGGACAGTTCGAATGTGAAATTGTTAGTTTTAAAATAAATTGTCAAGCAACTTAGTAAAAGCTTAGTTTAAGAAAGAAGATGATGATGATGAAGATAAGGAATGATTGGTAAGTCTTCAATGGTCTGTTAAATCTTCTGATTAAAAGATAGCAAATGATTATCATAATGATGTTGAATGATTATTATCATTATTGGAAATCATCAAAATGGATTCATTGGTATATTTTTTTACTCTTTTTTGCTCTCTTATTGAAATGGCTTTTCCCATTTTACCAAATTCGTCTGAAAGCTTGTTCAATGATAGAAATCAAAGGAAATGAAATGCAATGAAGGAAGACTTTGATTTGTCTTGCCTCTTCCTGTAAATATGGTTACTTGCAATTGTTGAGTATCAAAAACATGGAATGTTAGTTGAATCTTGGAAAATGAGTTTCAACAGAAAGAATTGCAAAAACTGTAACTTCAAGTGTAAACAATGAGTAACAAAGTAATATTATCTCATATAACCAAAAAGAAAGTTAAGTCCAAATAAAACAAAAAAAAACACAAAAGGATAATGCAATAAACTCGTGCAATGACATAAAGCATTAAATTGTAAAGTAATCAATGATGATGATAATGATGATGATAATGATGATGAAAGCAAGTTAACAAGTCAATACAATGGTTTAGACCACAAATTGTTTCTATCAAATTAAATTTTCAACTTTCCAAAGCATGTTAAAATGAAAGGAAGATAAAAAATAACAAAACTCAAGTTAATATTTTTTCGGAAATAATATTTACTCAGTATCCGACACAGCGGTATAAATGGTATTGAAAAATCAAGATGAATGAAAAGAGAGAAGGGAACTTTACAGGAAAGAGAGAAGAAGCAACGAAAAGAAATGAGAACTAATAAAGTTGATGATAATATAAAACAATTATGATGGGAAGGTTCGTCTGAATAATGGTAATAGCAATGGGAACCTTGAGTTATGAAAGCAAAATAATACGCTAGTAAGTTTAATCAACCATTTTTTGGATGCTGATTATAATATAAAAGAAGGTTAAATCCATCACGTTATTTTTCAACCTTAAATGTGATTTCCAAGAGCAAAGTTTTACCTCTGTATTACACCTTAGACAATATTATCGGAGAATAAGGATGCGAGGTAAGAATAAAATGTAACGAGACAGAAATAATGGAAGACGAAGAAAGGGGAAAGGTTCATCATTTGAGGCAAAAAGGATGAGGAGTGAGGAAAAGTCAATGTCTACGTGCCTAGTTGGCCATTGATTAAATACAGAGTGATTCTTGATATATATGCTATTTCAATGAAGCATGATCATTCAACAATAATGTATAAGAAATTGAGAGACCATTGAGAAATAGTGAAATGTTTTATACTCAACGAATACGAATATACGAATATACTAGCATTATACGAATTTCAAAGTGAATTACATGAGCTTACAATATAACGACTTTTCTTCTGGCTTCATTTTATAATCAAATTGAGCATTTATTTTCAATTATTAGAAGCATAGTAAAAAATTTATAGATATTTTATGACTGGTTGCATCTGTGTGTTGAAGGGTTGTATAATGAGCACCAGAATTGAACAATAAGTAAACAAACTCAGATAGTAAACAGCCCGTAACAAATACTGTTCATTCTCATCTTCATTTCAGCTTTTATCATCAATGTTGATTTTCTTAATATCACCATTTTGGATGAATGTTCAAGACTTTAGGGTGTGTTCAGACAGACAGAGGAACACACATCTCTTGTTTTGTGTATATTCAAATGTGGACATTTTGGGCTGAACAATGCAAATTTCATGGAGAAAATAAGTCACAGGGTGAAATGAGAACACAACAGCCTGAAATGTATTGAAAAAGACAATAAAAAAAGTGAGAGAAGATCAAAGAATGAGTTGCTTTTTCCATCTTCTTGTCTTTTCAAAAGTTTAACTTAATAGGTTCATTTAAAGATATTTTATATTTCATTTAAAAGAGTTGAAAGACAAAATAATTAAACATTTTTCACTCCATGTTTTGTATGAAGTGAAAAAAGAAATGTGGAATTACTTTTGATAATTAAGCATCTCATAGAAATAAGTGTGTAAATAGTAAAGATGACTGGAAAAGTTTTGATTTTAATCAAGATTCTAGGATGAATCTTGACAATAGAGAATTGAATAAAGACGAAAGAGAAAGTTGAAAATCTTTCATTCCACTTGATAAATCATTAAAATATTCAATTAAATGTTCAATTTTCGACTGTCGACATTATCAACGTTAACAATAAAATTTTGAAAGAAAATCCAAAAAAAAATTAATTAGTCTTTTGACCAAAATTTTAAAACCTTTTACAATAGAAAAAAGTGAAATAATTATGATTTAGGCTATAACTGGGAATAAGCTGAAACTGAAAGCATCAAAGGTAAGCAACTTTCCATGATAGGTAATCTGGCAATAATTAAACGTAAACTTTTACCATTTCGTGCTGATAATTGCAATTTACAAATTATAAATTGTATGATGAAGAAAAAAAGATATATGAAAAGTAAAGAGGAGAAACAAAAAGCAATATAATTTGCATATTTTTGACAATTTTTATGATAAAAATAGATTGTTTTCTCTAGCTTTAGTCTGTAAGATAATATGAATTTAAAAGGTTCCATGAACATGGTTTGAATTCAATAAATCATGAACATAAACGCTAAAGGAAAAATATATCATCCTGTGAATTATTGTTCATTTTACAGAAAAATGATGATAAAAGGAAAGAAGAGAGAGAAGGAGAAGGAGAAGGAGAGAGCTTCAGTGAGGATAGGTCAGAGGTTTCATGAGGATGGTAATGATGACGATGAGTAAACATTAACTCATTAGAGGGCAATCATGAAAAAAAGACAAAGATGAATTGTGATCAAGTCAAAGATTAAGTGGCAACACCAAACCAAACAATTTCACAGAAACACATATCATCATCAACATATTATTTGAAATATGACTTGAAAAAGTCAGAGGAGAGCAAAGAAATGAGATATTCAAAGGAGGATGAGTTGGAGTGAGAGTGTAATAATACATGGTAACAAGATTTTGTTAATGTTTTTTGATACAGTTCATTAAAATGGCTGATTATCGTGTAACAATCAAGTAATTTACTTCAACTACACAAATCTCGAGAGTCCAGAAATGGTGAAAAAACCATTGCTAACAAAAATAGGCTATATGTGAGTTTGCGTTCCCAATAGACTTTAGAATGGTTTAGGTACAGGGAGAGTCAGATAGAGCTGAACATAAAAAGGAAGAGAAGCTTAATACACCATAACTTATACTTTTCATGTTTCTCCTTATCATCCTCTTCATCATTACTATCATCAACGCTCTTCTTTTTTCTCATTCTCTTCATCATTCTGCTCAGTGTTGTATCTCTGCAAGAAACAAAAAAACTTTACAGATGATTACCTAATTGGCAGTATCTTGAAAAAGCATAAGCCGGAAGTTTTTTGTTTTACGCCTTTTTCGCCTCGTTATGATTTTACTCTTAAATTTCCTCCACTCCATCAATAATCTTAATATCAAAAGTTAGCTAACTATTATTACTATTGTTATTGTTTCAAGTTGTTATGCTTTACTAACACCGTTTTACCTAGACATTCAAGAATTACATATTTTATCATTATACAGGTTGTGCACATAATAATAGCATGAATGAGAGAAGATTAAAGCAATCACAGAAAATGCAATCCTTTATGTATTGATGTTTATCAAATAGTTTCAGTGGTAAACATCAGTTTCATTGGTTGAAGTTAATTCAGCGAAAAAATAAGGAGTAAAAACCACACAAATGCAAAGAGATATGCATTTACAAAATATTCATTAAAAATTATTGCTAACTTCATGTTGACATAGAAGATTTTTTTTATAATAGGTAAAAAGAAAGGTATTAAGCATTATTTATCCATATTTAAACTATCATGGTTTTCAAATATTGTATAATCGCTATTATTATTTGTTTACTTTTCTCTTGGTAACAATTTTGACTTTGGATCTCATTTTCAAATAATCTGACTTGTTGCTAAAAATAGTAAGTGCTGACGCTTACGTTTCTTTTTGTTGTTTTTTAAGAGAAATATGTTTTAATATTAACTTTATGTGAGTTTGCATTGATTTTCATGAAAAGATTCAAGTATTTTAACGTTATTTTTAAGACTATCTGAGTTTGATTCTGCGCTCATTCGAGGACATCTGTGATCTTTGATTGACAAAGATTCAAGTATTTATGATTCAAACATATATTGAAATTAAAAACATCAACCATCTGACAGTCAAATTATGGTCCATTTTGATTTTCAGATGATAAAGTTTGTCATGGTTATGTAATAAAGTGAATTAAAATAATCCATTGGGGTAGATACAATTGTATGAGAAGCATCATTTGGCGTAGTCCTTTGATTTATCACAGTTTTAATACTCAATTGTGTTTGATTGGTCTAGATTATTGACCTAATATTGATCTTGTTGTATCGACGGAAAGGAAAAGGCAAAGGGTTCTGCAAACATTAAAGAAAAGGAAAATGTAATGCTATATAATACTATACATGTATGTAGTCAATTGATAGTCAAATGTGACTCAAGAAAAAAGTAAGATGAAATATTCAACCTGAACCAATTCAAGAATAGATTAAATTAATTGAGTCAGTTATTCACTAATTATTATGGTTCAATGAATTGTGGAACTAACCAGCAAAAATTAACAAGGGAACTTGATATCATTTGAACAGTTTGTTTCAAGAGTAAATGAATCAGAAAGTACTTACATTAAATGTAGAAATGAAAATGTAAAAGCTAAATATCATTTCTTTTCTTGAATTCTTTACCAACTGCGTGAAATATAAAGGTTTGATATAACTTACCCATTTGTTTCTTATCGGTAGCAAGAGACACTAATTCGGGAGGAGAAGGTGTTGTTGACCATGCAGGACAACATACAAATTCCACACCACCGAATATTCCGACTCCACAGGGCAATAACATTCCGAAAGATTTAAGTTTCATGTTACGCTTCTCGGCGCAACTAGCAGCTGCTGTGCGATTCCAAAACTCTGAGCTTTGACAAATAGATCCATTGTGAATATGGTCAAAGAGACAGTAAGCAGGTACAAGAAGTGCATCGCTTTGGAATGGTCCTTCTAAACATCGGTATGGTTTAACCAAATGACGGCCTCCACATTTTTGTCCAAATTTACACCAATTGTCAACTACCATGTATTTGCTGTATTCAACAATATTACGAATATCCTTTTTAGGGTAAACTTTACGACAGTATTCAAGTATTTCCAATTTATCTTTGGTACACACAGCCTTAGGATCTGGATCGGAAACCCATCGTTTGTTTTCATCCAGGTATTGGTTATGAAATTTACCTCGACCACAAAGCATAGCAACCATGGGTTGAAAATGGCTTAAAACTAAATCAGAACCACCAACAGGATTAAGTTGATTAGAAGATGATGAGGAGGCTGAGGAGGCACCATCAACCTTAATATTTGTTAAGTCTAAAGCAAGGTAACACAAGGTTAATATTAACATTAATTTAGAATACATGATGGCAAAGGTGATGATTAATAAAACAATTCACTTCTAATGTTTCTTTAATCAAGAAAATTTCAATACTTGATAAAGAGAAGAAATAATCTATTTATTCTGGAATGCTCGCCTTCACTGTTATAAGAAAGCTTCATATTCATCAAAGCAAAAACCTCTCAGTGGTTGTGCTGAGATATCTAATTACGTTTGACATGGTTGCTCCATCTAGTGAGTCTAGATCAAAGAGATCATTGAGAAATTATTGATAGATATCTATTGAGTCCAAGATCCAATCCCATCTCTGGACTTAAAGTTTTCACAGTCAACATTGGTGATGAAATGATCAAGATCCGTTCTAACGTGAACTTGCTCATTAGTACACCTGTAATTTATTCAGTTTGCAATCAGTTCCATCACAACTTCATCTAATTAAGACAATTAAAAATGGATAATGCAACTGAAAGTGCTACTCAACAAATCAAAACACCTTTGAAAGAGTTATCTCCCAGTCCTGAATTTATCGAACATCGGTTGAAGCTATGGGATGAGTTTAAATCTATTTATTTGGCCGAGTTGGCTACCAAAGAACCTAAATTGATTAAAATCTCCTGTATTGACAAAGATGGAAATTTAAAAACTTTAGAGGGACTTGAAAGCTGGAAGACAACTCCGATTGATGTTGCCAAAAAGTTGGATCCAAATCATGGGTTGAAAGCATAATCATTTCAAAAGTTAATGGAAAGTTGTGGGATCTTGAAAGACCATTAGAGGAAGATTGTTCAATTGAGTTAATCAAATTTGATGATGACACAGGTATGCATTTTTATTTGTCTTTGCTCTTTACGTCAATATACTAAATATAACCAATATTATCTTTGTTATGTTGCCCTTAGGTAAGGCTGTCTTCTGGCATTCAACTGCCCATGTTTTGGGAGAAGCCCTGGAAAGATTATATGGAAGTCACCTTTGTTATGGTCCTCCAATTGAAAATGGTTTCTATTATGATATGTACATGATTCATAAATCGTGTAATCAATGTGGAGAATCTGGTGACGCGGAAGGAAAACCTACTCACGCACTCGCTCATGGAAAGATTTACCCATAAAATTCGCAGACTTTGGTGTTCTCCATCGAAATGAAGTCTCTGGAGCTCTCTCAGGATTGACTCGGGTTAGAAGATTCCAACAAGATGATGCCCATATTTTCTGTTCCTATTCACAAGTAAGTTCTGCCTATCATTTTATCTTTACGATTTATTCTTCTTTTCTAACTCATGTTCATTTTTTTTAAAAGATTGAAAAAGAAATTTTGGAATGTCTACAATTCATGCAAGACGTCTACTCAACCCTTGGATTCACTTTTGATATGGTTTTATCAACCCGTCCTGATTCTTACATTGGTGAACTGTCTATCTGGAATAATGCAGAAGAATCTTTGAAAAATGCTTTAAATGCCAGTGGAAATAAATGGGGTCTAAATCCCGGTGATGGTGCCTTTTACGGACCAAAAATTGATATAACCGTAAAAGATGCCCTCAAAAGACCTTTCCAATGTGCTACAATCCAATTAGATTTTCAGCTACCAATAAGATTCAATCTTAGTTATATTGGACCCGATGGGGAAAAACACAAACCAGTATTCATCCACAGGTTTTGGTTCAGTTGAAAGATTTATAGCAATTTTGACCGAAAACTTTGCTGGAAAATGGCCTTTCTGGTTATCACCAAAACAAGCAATTCTCATTCCGGTAGCTGAACCATTTGTTGAATATGCTGAATCAGTTCGCTCGAAACTCTATTTAGCTGGTTTTGAAGCAGAAATCGAAGCTGATCCAGGGCTCAGTCTAAACAAAAAAGTTCGTAACGCCCAGCTTGATAAATTCAATTTTATCTTGGTTGTTGGTGAAAAGGAAAAAGAAAACGATTCAGTGAATATGCGAACTCGAGATAATGTGGTTAGAGGTGAATTTAAAGTAGACGATTTGATTGAGAAATTCAAACGTTTCAAGGAGCAAAGATTATTGAAAGCTGAAGATGAGTTTTAAAAGTTCTGCAAACAATATCAGGGAGTATCCTCCCTCTATTTTTGCGCAACCAAATGATCAAAAAGTTTAGCGAGTAAGCTGGTTCAAAAGAGATCAAAATGGAGAAAAAAGATCAACAATCAATCAAAGTGGCAGTATAGATTGAAGTTGAAAAAACGGTAAAACGGAAAAAATGGAAAATGCTTCAAAAAATAAACATTCAATCATTTGTAACCTTTGTGAAAACAGATTGATTTGAGGTAAGTTGGCTAACTTCACGTGCACATTTTACTTTAAATCTAATCTAAATAATAATTATTTGATTCAACTAATTTCTATCTTCATAGTTAAATTTAAATCAGGGTGATAACATTGGCTCCAAGTTTAAATAATGATGAGATTAATAATCGGATGAACCTTAAGTGACAAGTCTCTGCACAACATTATGATTGAAAACATTTGAAGCGCCATTGACCGAAAAGACTCATTTTGCACGTGGATTACAAGGGGACTCTAGTTAATTTTATTGTAAATGTAAGATATTTCTATTGATTGAGATCTTTTATAACTGTGAAATTAATTAAGCAATGAAAGTTTATAAGTTATCAATATTTTAAAGGATTAAACTTCTCATCTGGTTTCACGACTAGTATGGCAATCTTTACTTTTTTGTTCATTGTAAAATATAATCAGACAATGTGAATTAGTTTTAGTGTAAATTGATTCTTGTGTATAACTACCAAAAAACACTAAATTGAACTCGTTTCACTTTCAAAGCTGTCATTCAATATATGTATTATTCAAATTATCAAATTAAAATAATATTACCAAGTATTAATAATGATATTTATTCAAATTTCTGAACCCAGATGTATTCTTCGAGATAAGCACCTTCTTTTTCTGCTGAACAATTTTGTTTACAAGTATATACTGCAAGTATACCAAAATCGAAAGAAGCTTTCAATTGATAAATTAGTTGCGGCATGATCTGAAATTCGAAAATACGTTCAGCTCCACAATTTGGACAATTCGGAATGGTGTATGATTTATTGGCACTACAAATCCAAAGTGGCTCTGGTGTCACATCAGGAGATGGATAATAATATCTGAGTATTTGATCTTCATAGCCTTTTATCTTTCGAGTGAAATGACTGAAAGTAGCATCATCTTCGATTCCTGTAACATATTCATCCAGATTTTCATCTTGTAATTGTGGTTTATATTTTTCTAACCAATAGGATAAATTTTTACGATTATTTTCCTTTTTGCCCTTTTCATTTTCATCATTTTCTTCGTCTTCCTCAACATCATCTTCATTATCGTCTTCTTCGTCGGACTCTGTGTTTGGTTTAGCAAGATTTTCTTCCATTTCGATACTCACTTCATACTCTGGAAATAAGAATGAATTTTCTAATCTATCCACCGTGTCAATTGGTTTTCCACAGAGCTTTTTGTGGTCGAACTTTTTCCAATCAATGATTTGGTGATCTCGGCAACAATAAAAAACTGATTTACATTTGCCACATTGTTGTGATGCAACTACACCACAAAGATTACAAATGTGTTTTCCGAATTTTTCTGGTTTAGGATCATCCGGATAGTCATTTAAATCATCATAATTGGGTGGTGAATAACTATAGAAAGTATTAGCACGTCTTAGCTGACATCGAAAAACTTTGAAGCCTTCACCACATGAATCATAATTACAGGCAAAAACAAATAAGGTCCGATGGAAAGTTTCGTCGGATCTTTCTCCGGGGACATAAATTTGAAGCAAAAAGGTTAGAGAAACACCACATTTAAAACATGTAAGCTGCTCAGGAGAAGGTAAATCTGATAAACCGAGCCACAATGGTTTGCCACCAACTTTGGTAGGAAAAAATTTACACTTGAAACGTTTTATGGATAATTCATTGAGATCCTCCAAAAATCCTAAAGCTATTTTTTGGATGGAGGCCATTTTGCTGAAAAACTGAAACAAGAGGAAAACAATTATATTATTGAGCACGTTTTCAGCAATGTTTACTATGATAAATAAAACTCATACTCACCAAAATGAATCAAAGAAGATGTTTAGCTGAGATGTTGTTTAAAATTGATTCCAATAAATGATCTATTGACACCACAAAACTAGGAATATTGTAGATTTCTCGCACCTTAGATTCATTTGTGATATGTTTTAGATCAGAGAAAGGAATAGGATTGCCATTAACTAAACCAAATGGATTTGTATTTCTATCAAGTCTTTCCTCTTCCACAACTTTGATGGCAATCAGGTGATCGTCTTGAGACTTGCTTCCAAAGGTTTGTAAAGACCAAGATATCTAAATATTTAGAAAAAACAATCAATTTCATCAGTAAATTATTCAAATTTTACATAAAATATAAAGGATGATAGAGATGATTCAATAAATCAATAATTTAATTAATACTCACATTATTATTTGGTGAAAGACAGAATAGTATCTCAGTGTTTAAATTACGAGTCTTTGCCTTACCACTATGATGATGGAACAAGGCGGTTTCTGTAGCTACTTGAAGCTGACGCTCATCAACAATTAAACTTGGATCAATTAAGCAAATATCTGTTGTTTCATAATCAGCTGTCAACTGTTCAGTATTGGAAACATTATTGAATAAACAATAGATCATAAAAAAAGTTTGATCAGCATCAGGACGGAAAAGAGAAGCCAACTTGTATTTTTCAATTAAACTCATTGTTCTGTTTATTTGGTAAGGCTGTAGAAGTAACCGTAGGCTCACTTCTCCTCTCATTAGCCGCATCTAGTTTCGGCTCAAGCCGAGCGGCTAATTAAAAAAACTTAATATTTAAGGGTTAAATTTAACAATTAACTTTGTTATTCATTCTAGTCAATTATATTAAGATCATCTAGTAATAAGGAATCATTTTTGAAGACTTGAAAATGATTTTCGAGTCAGTAAAGCATGTTAAACATGAAATTTCATAATTTGATCATTGAATTCAGCGAAACTGAAATTTAGACGAGAATTAAGTTTGCTGAGCGTGTGGGATTGCTATTCTGTTTCAATTAAGGTAATAACAAAGTTAATTGTTAAATTTAACCCTTAAATATTAAGTTTTTTTAATTAGCCGCTCGGCTTGAGCCGAAACTAGATGCGGCTAATGAGAGGAGAAGTGAGCCTACGGTTACTTCTACAGCCTTACCGATTATTTCAGTAGTCGGACACATTCTTTCTTATTTTTACCATAAGCAGAGGATTGCAAACTTTCAGTCAATGTTCCTTAAATTTTTACTACTCAAATAACATCTTGTATAATATTTATACAAAATTTAAACCAAAAATTAAAATTCAATGGCGATTGAACCCAAATTATCAAAGTTACATAATTTGATCATTATTTGTTCAAATCTTTGTGAAAAATAAGCCAAAGTGCAAAGTCAGAAAATGCTCAGTCGGAATGAGAAAATGTATCGTAAAAATAGCTAAATGAACAACTTTAGCAGTTGGACCAGAATTTGATTACTGTATGTTAATATTTGTTAGGAAAGAAGAATGGAGAAGAATAACTTGAAATGCTGGGCTCGGACGTTATTCATGATGAACAAGTCAAATACCTAAATATTATTCCGAAATATTTATTCATCTTTCATTTGCCATTTTCAGTAATATTTTTTCCAATTTGATAAAGGTTAATGAATTCATCTTTTGATGTTTTAAATGAGATTTGGTTAACAAGAATTAACTTTATTTAGTGATCCATTAATTGTCATCAACATCAGATTGTCTCGACCATGAAAATTGATTAAAATTTTGAAATTTTTTGTTGCATTTAATTTTTAAGGCTAATTTTTGAGTTAAGAGTCCAACAACTAAACCAACGAATGCCAAACTGAAAACAATGCCTACTGCTTGACCACTCGTCAAGTTTCGCGATGCTTTGGCGATATTTTGTTTATTAGCATATCTATCAATGCTGTTTAACTCATAAGTGTAGCAGGTTGAATTATCGACTATTGTGGTTCTATCATCATTAGCTGCATGCTTAGATAGAAAACAAGTGCTCGATGTTTCTCCTACGAAACAATATCCAAATGATTGACAAGTTTCGTCGCCTGCTTTCCAGTCATAGCAGAGAGAAGCGCATTGATCCATATTCAGATTAATTTCTGTGTGAATTGTTTCAGTTGAAATTTGATGACCAGTCATCCGATATAAATGAGACTTTTTAGCTGAAACAGTGAAACAATGATGATTTTACTGAGCAATCAAGAGATAGAGTGATTTAATGAATCGACTTACGAGTTACTCGAATTACTTACGAGAATAAATATCACAATCAGTATAATGTTGGGTACTAGAATCTGTATAATAGCCTGCGAAGGTGCACAATCCGTTGCAGTATTGGAATGAATAACAATCATTTGTAGAATGACATTCAGCTGCACAAGTTTGAAGAGGCATTTTCTGTGCAATGGATGGCGAAATCCTGAATCTTCGTTCTCTAATCTTAAAATAGTCCAACAAATAATTTTTTGAATAAATATTACAGCTATAATCTTTGACAATATCATCTGAAGTGAGCTGATCTGACAAAGTATTTGTTGCCATGCAAAAAGATCGGTCTGGATGTTCACAGAATGAAAATGATTGACAAAGAGATTGACCAGCTCGAACACAGGATCTGTAACAATCACCAAGATTCTTGCCATTGATTAGTTGTGTCGCTCCATTGAGATCATTCAATTTGGCTTGAGTGTGTGACAGCGTGAATGGCATTAGACCAGTTGCCTCATCGCTTTTCGTTACATCAATCACTTTAATAATTTTGAATGTATTCTTGGCCAATTCAATGGATTTAATATTCTTCTTGATCATTTGTGGATAAATTTGTTTCAATTGAAGCTCTTGATCAATGCGATTCAGATTATCCAAAGGTACATCAAAAATCGAGCAATTGTAACCATTTATTTTGTCTTCAATAATTTTGTCTTCTTTTTCAATTCGATAACATTTACTGGACGATCCAGGTATATTACAATAAATAACTTTTCTGTAAACAAATACATTAGTAGATTATACGACTTATTCAAATAAAATCAGCAGTAAACAATAAACTTGCCTGATTTTCCCGATCATTTTGCCTTGAAATTGTAAGCATTCATTTTCACTTTCGAAAGAATAAGTTGCAAACTTTTTAAGGTAATTAGAGTTTATGGTCATTTTTTCCTTTTTTAACGAATCTAAGACGAAAGAATAATTTGATTGATTAAAAATAATTTGTTTATGAAGTTGCATCTCCAGCACTTGCCTTCAATTTTCGGTGTGTCTGAAAATGTTACATATACGACGATATCTTTAGAGTTGAAAACGAAATCAATGTTCAAAACTCTTAGCGGCGAAATTTTATGGTTTATTAATATTTGGTTCTTAAAGTTTTGCCGAAATTGGTAAAGAAAACTTTCAGTTCTCTCAACTTTCTCTACAAGAGTAACGAAAATGGTTAAATATGTGATTCGATTGCAGTTGTTTAAGACAAAAACGCTGCAATCGCAAAGTAAAGTAAAATCAAATCAAAGCTTTCAACTTGCCAATGTACTTCAAATGGTATGCCAATGTAACCTTTGAATTAAGATCAGGGAAACATTGATCCAACGGAAATTTTCCAGTGGAATCGGTATCCAATATAACTGCCTTCGTGTCGTAGAACTTTCGATTTATTACTTGAACAAGAGTATAACCATTCTGTTAATAAGCAAAATTGAAATGCCATTGAAATTAATGCATTGATTTGATGATTAATAGACTTACTCAAAAGAATTCACAGAGAAACTTACCTTTGAATTTCGAGTGTAACAGTTTCTATCAGCACCAACAAGATTATATCCTTCAAATGTATCACTTTCATGCTACAAATGATTAAAAAATGATATTAAAATTGATGAACAATGCATAATATGTTAATTTGATTCGTACCCCATCAACAAAATATAAAGTAGTCACTACTTTGTCATATTGAACACCATTAAGAGTCAAATTGTACTCAACTGCTTCCCAAGCTTTAACAACATATTTAGACTGATAGTCCTAAAGGTAATAAAATAATGGCAATATTGATCAGCAGGTAGTTAATAGTTAGGTTAAGATCTACATCAAACTTACAAGATAAATTTGACCCAAATATTTAAGAGGAACATTCAACCAGAGGAAATGATCCAAGCTCAGATGACTTTTCTCATTCAACCAGGGAGCTTTATCACCAAGGGGCGATATTGAACATTTAGAGTCTTTCAATGTATAAGCTAAACCCAAATTGTAATCATAAACTGCATTAATTCCAGAGGATGGCGATATATGACGCAAAATGGCTTCATCTTCATTCACATAGAACTGCGTAAAATCGTAAAATATTAGTGTTAAGATAGATTGATTCATGGTAATATTACAATATTAACCTCTTCTTTAGTTGATGATTTTGATACTCCATTGATTGTTTCTTGAATGATCATTGAAATACGACGGGTTTTAAGTTTAGGAAATGGTCTTGCCTTTGATAAGTAAATTGGACACCCGATTCCAGGAGTGACCTGATAAAAGAAGCAAAAAATAATCAGAACTAGTGCAATTTTTGCGACATTAATATCAAACAACCTCAACAAGTTTTTCAAGTGAATCGTAAGTTTCTAGTTGCAAATGCAAATCTATAATAAGTTTCTCATCTTTTGCTTTTATTGAACCCAATGGATCAACACCTTCAAGAACTATTCTCCTCGGTTTCTCAAGATCATTACTGTCGTCGTGGCCAAGTGCTAAAGTAGAAACGAGAACAAGATTATAACAATTGAACTTGAATGGATTCAGAATGTGATACATTTGTAGTAATAAGTAACGTTGATATTCCTGTCAATCCTTGCACGAACAGATTTCAAAAGAACTCCTCTAACATTTTGATCCTTTCCTTGTTCCTATTGCAATATATAAATATTTATATTAGTTCAAAGAATCGTGCAAAAGTTGAGATTGAAGTGAATTACCCAGTCGGGCTCTTGGTCATTGATACGATAAAGTAGTGATGGACCAAGTAATAAGACGAGATTTGTCAATGGTTTTTCAGTGTCCAGTAGCTTTTGGTCCCAAAAGATGTTGTAAGTGTAGATATCACATCGTCCATCTATTTTTAAGAAAAGACAGAAAAATGTATGTCACTGAATTTATTTATTATGATTCGATGCTAAAATTTTATTCTGATGAATAAAATGTTTTCATGAAAACTAGTCTTGTAAGTAAACGCGTTAAGCAATGTTTTATTTCATTTATTTAATTTTCCATTTCTGACTTTTTACTGAAATGCCTTTACTTTTAAAACTAAAAGCTTTGACTAAAAGTATACCCATGTAGAAATAGACATGAGATCGTATCAGTTACTAATTATCGGAGCGTAGTGAAACGAAGTGAAGATTTTAACTCAGATATGCCTTTTTCAAAATCCACTTTTTGTTTTACTGTTACCAAGATAATTCACGAACGGAACTTCACTTAGACTTGATAATTAAATCTAAGACAGAAAATATTGCGACGGTGAAACGATCAACTTTTCAAGGTCATCGGAGGTCATTTTTCGGGATTTCGACCTTTGACCTTTAGAGGTCATTTGAAGGTCGTTTGAAAATTTTCGAGGCATTTTGATGACTCTCATGAAGATGCATCATTTTATCACTGATAGTAATTGAAATTTGGCCCAAAAAGGGGCAAAAAAGTCTGAAACTTATGCAAAAGCAATTTTTTGCAGCGATGATATCTTCTAAACTAATGACGTCATGAACTTGATATTTGCAAAATGCTTAATTAAGAACATGTTGCAGGCCTGAAAATATTTAACGACCATCAAAGGTCATTTTTCGGGATTTTGAACTTTGGCGTTTAGAGTTCATTTGGAGGTCTTTCGAAAACGTTTAACGTTTCATTCGATTCCCTTTCTAATAGATAAATCATCGTATCTCTGGAAGTTATCGAAATATGGCTCTAAATACGAAAAAATCCTTCAAACTTACGCAAAGAAGTACCATATTATGAAGCGTGACTTTTGAATAACACGGTAAACATTCTAAACAATTTTGAATAAGTTATGCTGCCTAATGGGCTGAATAAGTATATCTCTATCGTTTATTTGAACACTGCATAAGACCTAGAAAGCCAACTTCAATGTAACTCCATGTTCCGCCTTAGCCTTAAGCGATAGTACATATGTGAGGAAACTTGTCAAGCAAGAGAAAGGGTAAAGCAAAAATAAGAATCCTGTTTCTTTTCACTGTGTAACAATGGGTTGAAGTTGTAACATCAATAAAATGGCTACTCGATATTTTAGGCTCTAGAAAGAAGAGCAAGGAAAGAAAAGTGTACCGCAATCGGACGTCATCGCACAATGAGAGAAGCTAGAAAAGCTAGCTTTTTTGGTCTCAGACTGTTAATTAAATGTAATTTCGAGTTGATTTGGTGCCTAGCAATTGTATTGATCGCATTTCCAACACGCATCCAAAATCCCGTGTCGCACTTCCAGTCGCAAACGTAAGTCATTTGTTCGAACTAACCCAATAAACAGGGACAACATTCTCAGTGTAACCCTTAAAATACCTCGAATATCAATCTTTATGACCAAAATCAAATCTATTTATTGACCAAAACTATGTATATCAACCTGACAGCCTTAACATCCGGTCTTTATAGTATGCCGACCAGCCTGCTTAAATAAACTACACAGCATTAGCAAATTTTTAAGCTTGCATGAGGTTTTACAGGTTATTTTGTAATTTCATCTCTTGTAACCGAAATTTCGGATGGTAGAGAATACAATGAATCATGGTCGGTACTAGATGATTAAGAGTAAAACTAAGATACATCAATTTCTCGACTATTTTCGAAATATCATTTCGTTTTTCTGTTAAATCTAACAAAAAATACGATCAATTTGTTACTAACGCTCCGATTTTGGCGAGCGATCGTCTAACCTAGTTTAGATTGAATACGGGCAAATTCAGGTTACAAATACCCAATTTACATTGGAAAACGCATTTAAACTGAAAAATCTCGTCTCGTTGATTAAGACTAAAGGCAGTTTAATGCCCACAAACTTCATTTCGGATGATATGGCAAAGTCGAGTTACAAATTATTATCTTGAGTAATATTGAATTGTCTCAGATGCATATTTAATAACAGAAAGTAGTCCGTCGATAATGGTTTATACACTTACTTTTCATGCTCATCGTAACCCAAGACTAGGCATGCAAGTATCAAAAAAAATTGTTTCATTTTGAATTGGTCCGCCTTCAATTGACCGTATCGTGACTCGATAACGAAAAAAAGAACTGATCATAATAGCAAGCTTTTAAACCGTTTTTACGTCCATTCGTGTTTATATGTTTAGAACTTTTCGAGATCATTTTTAATGCGGATATTTTTCAGGATTTTCACCATACTATCATAATCAGTACTCTCAAGTTATTCAATCGAAACAGATTTTGTCATTTTTGTAATTCATTGTTTAACTGGAGTTTCAAATAACTGAAAAAATGGGTTTCAATCTGGATTGAATAACTTCTGAACTTATGCAATAACCTGCTTTTAATGCAAACTTTCAATGCTACTTTGCCAGTTTGATCGTTAACTTGATATGATTTTATATTTTGCTAGAGATCTAACAAGTTTAAAATTTTCTATGAATAACATGAAGTTCATGCTGAGGTTTTACTGGCAAGTGTTATATTTAACTAGAAATTACCTAAGGGCAAAGCAATCTTACCTTGAATAACCAAACGTTGATATTCCCCCAAACCGTTTAAGCCATCGTCACTGTAATAAACTTCAGCCTTCCCACGTTTTGATGTAACTTCAATTTTGCTCGTTAAAACACCAGTTTCAATAATGTATTCCTTGACAAAAAATACATCGCCCGTGTCCTTTCATATTTGATTCACATAATTTGAGAAATTTTTTTCCGTGAATAAGAATATATGAAATGAATTGAGTATCTGTCAAGAGATGTAAAAGGCAACTTACCTCATCAGTGAATGTTGCATGAAATATCGCATTTTGAGAAAGGCGTGAGAATAATGGCCAGTCCATGAAGCAATCTGTTAATGTTTAATTCCAATCAATTTTCTTGATGATCAAGCTTAATTAAGTACTTACTAGCATTGCAGATGAACAATTGAATCAATGCAACAACTGGTAACAAAATCATTATCCTTTGGTAGTGATTCAATTTAACTCAACAAAAGACGTTTTTAAAGTAGTGAATTCCAATTTTGTCCTGATCTTATTCTAATCCCAATCTTAATTTCATGTGGAAAAATTATTAGATTAATTCGGTTGATTTACAAAAACGCCTTTAATTGTTGAAAGAAACCAGAAGCATTGTAAAAACAAGTAGCTACTATCATTAAAACTTACAATGTTATCTTGATTCTGTAAGACAATGGTTCTCTGGAAGTCATCATGTCTGATATAAGCTCCAGTCCCCTTGAACCTGATGATATTGGCATCAGATTCTGTATCTAAAATGGATATTGTTAAAGTCAAGTTTTATACCCGTTTACATAAGATTCATTTGATTTAGTTTTGAAGCAAATTCGGTTGACTATCAATTTATTAGACTAAAGTTATTGATCATTTCAAGAGTAAACTACTCAACATCAATTCTTCAACAAAAATTCAATACAATCATTTATTATTTGAACATCATGCAAGCATTTTACAAATAAGTGTACAAGAGCCATTTTAACCAGGATAGAATGAATGCAATTATAACCAGTATAAAGATTACTTCTCCAATTTCATTAACAGATTTTGCTATTTAAGCATCTAATCAGAAATCAAAATAAGGAAAAAATGACATTTATTAATAAAAATATTTGATGAAAAATATACATTTTCAAAACGGGGAAGAGCATGGCACGTAATTAAATGATAATCAAGGATAACTTTTAGTCTCAGTAATTCTACTGGGTTGATCTTTCGTGCAAAATAAAGTCTAATGGTCTTGTAGGTTTAAGCGCAAATTCAACAATATACTGAACATCATCGAGTTTTTTAGTTGATTCAACTCTGAATCGTCGCAAAATGTGAATGATGAAAATCTTCATCTCGATTAACGCAAATCGGTATCCAACGCAGTTTCTTGGACTAAAACCAAATGGCAAGAAAGATCCTTTCGGTATATTGTTTTTATTTGTATTATCGAATCTTTCTGGAATGTAATCATCAGGATTTGGGTAAACTTGTGGATCACGATGAGCTGATAAAATGTTAATTAAAACAGTGGTTCCTTTGGGTATGGTATAGTCTTTGTTAATAGACGCATCTTCATCGAGATCACGGAAAACATATGCGATTGGGGGATAAAGTCTCAGTGATTCCCTCAAACACATATCGAGGTAATGGCATTGGTTGATCTTTTCCAAATCATTCATTTGGCCACTCTCATGAAATACGCTTGATATTTCACGATACAGTTTTTCCTGCACATCTTGACAGTTACCTAATACAAACAGAGTCCAATTCAAAGAAACTGATGTTGTTTCGTGACCAGCACAGATAATGGTTACCAATTCTTCGTTAATTCCATTTATATCAATATCACCTCCACTTGTTTGCATCAGTAATGAGACTAGATCACATGGCAATGATTCTTGTGATCTACTTTCAATTACGTTTGAATTGTTGTCTAATTTAGAGTTGATTTGAGTGGTTAAAAAGTCGTAAAAGATATTTGTGTCTTTAATGAACTTTTTACCCAGTTTAGTTGAACTGAAGATTGAATTAAACCACAAGACGGGGTTGAAAATGCGACCATATGCAGCCTTTTCTATCAAATCAATAGTATCAATTATATGTTTCTTTTCACTTTTGCGACTTTCCATTGGAATATGCAAAGTCGCATTAATAATAATGTCAAGCATTGATTGATGAATATAACTATGAAGGTTAACCGGCTGACCCCGAATCGATAGTTCCACTAAAGTTTGGTTAACCAGTTTATCAAATACATGGTTCATTGTATTGATGAAAAGTTTTTGTTGTTTGCTGACAAAGAATGGCTCAACCATTTTACGGCGCAGTTTCCATTTGGTGGGATTCGAAGTAACTAAACCATCTTTTAGGCCAAAAAATTTGTAAAAACTGGGTTTAGTAATGTTGGTCTTTGACATCACAGCCTGCAATTCAAATAATCCAGGATAACATTGAATCATAGAGAAGTCATTGAATTGAGAATTGAAAGACAGAAAGTCAAGATGAAACATATTTTTATATTAATAGATGCACGAATTGCATTTGCATAAATATTCTAGTGAATTTAATAGTTACCTCGATTGCCTGGTGACTACAGCAACAAATCATTGGTTTCCAGGTGATCCAGATGGCAAATAAACCCGATTTATCTCGATTAGCTTTTACATTGCGTTCAATGAATTGTGTAAGTTTCTCTAGAATTGGAGTTAAGAAAAATAGAAATTAATTGTTGGCAAATAAAGATTTGGAATATTGAATGGAAATGTGAGATTGAACAGCTTGATTCATCACATTTTAACCCGTTCATGACAAATAAAAAGCATTCAATGCTTACCAATAAAAGTAGACGCTTTTGAAGGTATAAATTTGAGCGCATGGCCAAATAGAAAGGAACTTGGTTCAGAAGGAAAACGATGAAAACGATTAAACCATTTAAAAAAATAAACAATTTTTGTGAACAAATAGTAAATAATTGTTATCCCAATTAACTTAACAATAAATTGATTAACAGAAATCACATTATCATGCAATAAACCTGACATATTAAGAGTTGAACCAATAAGGACAATAGTTCATAATTCCAGCGATATTATTCAGTCTGATTCAAATTGAAAGGGCACAATTGAAAGACTAACTAATAAATGCTCAAATGGCAGAGTTTTAAAGAATTAATCAATGAATTTATCAGTCAACATAACCTGTTTCATTGAAATAAGATCACACCTCTTATTAATACAATGTAAACAAAGTTTTATTTTGGGCTTATTTGTTGCAAAAATATTTGTTACTCCGAAAGCATTTCAAACATGAGCAACACGTTACATTGAATAAAAACAAAAACAACCGGTTTTCATGCTTCTTTCCATTTACTTTTTCACTAATTATCTCTTGCGTAGTTTCATCAAGTGTCTATGCAATCGTATGTATTTCTGACATTTTATGCATGAGTATCGAAATACTATTGATCAGTTGAAGAGGTTCAATAAGATTAGAGTTTGCTTTTAGTGATTTCACCCAGTGATCATCGAACGGAGCTTTGATTATATCTACCGTTAACTCTGTCTGATAACGTAAATTCATCGATTGACCTTCATTTTGTCCAAAATTTAATCTGCCATTTAAATGACTGTTAAAAGTTGAAGCTATAAATATATCTGTCTCTCTGTGTTTATGAACCATCAATCTAGCTATGTAATTACTGATATTGAGATAATAATTAGCCTGCGTAACCACTACCAGCTAAACATGCACTTCATTTGTAATTATCAAATTCGAGCAACAGCTTCATGATTAAATTTGATGCTTGTCCGGTGAAGCCCCGAAGTTGATTTTGCAATCTTACGCAATTGCTAATTCAGTCAACATACATTTAATGCCGTCATTAGTATAAACCTATTATAAATTTGAATGCCTCCAGTTTGATTGGAGCGAAGACTAGGAGGGAAATGAAATACAAACAAATTCAAGGACGGAAGGGGTTTCAAGTCAAAAATTATTTTTGTTTACATTCTGATTCGATGACGATTCAATGATGACCCTTGAATTTTTGTCAACAAATTTACACGTTAGGAGACTTTTACGGGGAATTCTGTTTTTTTCATCACAGTATTAATTTTTTAATAATTTTATAATCGTTTGAGGTGGTTCGTGGCTCGAGATTCGAGCAAAGGAAGACAGAAAGGTTTTGTATTAACAGGTTTTATTGTAAACATCGATACTGGATTGGCTGGTTTAGGCTTTTTATACACTATTTAGTTTTTTAATGATAAATTGATTGAATAATGATCATAACTGCAATTATGAAGAAAAGAGAAGAAAATAAACTTATAATTAAGTTTATAAAAGCTACTAAATAATCAAGTTTGCAGCTTTGCTGTTACAACTGAACACAAATCTAATTATTGTTGTGTTAGTCAACCTCTCTCCACACAATTGCAACTCTCAGTTGATTGAAATAATAGTTGAGTTTTGTGATTTCATCTCAATATGGATCATAACATATGGATTTCATTCCCAAAAGCCATCAGTCTTGTGGGTTATCTGATTATTGCATACTTCATCCATATCACACTATTGAAGCCCACCTTGAATTTGTTGCATAAAATTTATCATTATCATGGATTGCATTGTCTTCCTAAAAACTTTCTCTTTGGTCATCTAAAGTTATTGAGTCCGAATTTTCCATTTCCAAGCAACATGGAAGATATTTCAAGTAAGTTAGTCCTTGTTCAAGCAACTAACACTACTAACCTCTGGAATGATTTCTGTCAATGTTCATTACTATTTGATTGCAGGAAACATGTACACTTGGTTCGAGCAAACGATTTCGACTAATAAGGACCGAAGTTTATCAGTGATGTGGTTAGGACTATTTCCAGTGATTATTATTTCTGATCATGCTGCAGTTGAAGTAGGTATCAGATATGCTTTGAACTATGGACCAAATTTCCTTTTCTTTTCTTGCAATCAAACAAATAGGCTGTAATGACCAAAACCAATGTTAAGAAACCCTTCTTTTACAAATATATTGGATTGAAAAATGGTCTAATCACATCAGATCCTTCGCTGTGGAAGATTCGTAGGAAAGCAATCGAACCCTTTTTCGTAACAAAACGACAGAAACATTTTGTAAAGCTTATGGAACAAGAAATCAGAGAAATACCCGAAAAATTATTGAATCAAATAGATAAACCAATCGACATGGAGCATTTAATCCACACGAGTACATTACGCATAATTGAAAGAGTTGTTGGAAGCATACCATTGGACGATTTGAAGGAGGAAAAAGAAATCACTTTAGATCTTCTTACAAGCATTGAGCAAATTGCAATGAAACGAGCCATGAATCCGTTACTGTGGTTCGACATACTCATCAATTTTTTTGAGACAGGCAAAAGTTATTTAAAGAACTTGGAAAGAATCGAAACTTTGATGCATTCTTACATGGAGCATCGAAAAAAAGTGATCACGTTGTCACCACCAAAACAACCAGAAGAATACGACTTGGTACATTTACTTGAGAAACACACCGATCAGACAGGAACACTTGAAGAATTAGTGACAAGTATTGCAGCCGGTCATGAAACAGTTTCGGTATCTTTACGTTGGACTCTATTTTCATTGGGTGAGTTAGACCTCGGACACTCAAAAGTTGACTAATTAAAGAAATTAAAAATCTAATAGAAATTAAAGCACAGTTAAAAGATAGAGCCTCTAAAGTCCAGATTTCGAGGCTAAAGAGATAGACATTAGATTATAATTGAACGTTAAAGAAAAACACAAGACTTTGAGCTTTCGTGACTACAGCTAATGAAAGTCTAGCTATAAGTTCTTGAAATCAAAATCTATAAGCTTTTGACATGATTTGATAAAATCAATGAGTTTTTGGTTCCATTTTCTGAATCCCTCCACACATAGTTTCCTTCGTTGCATTAAAAAAGTAATCAAGTTCATTTCGACTATGAGATGCAATGAAAAAAGAAGATAAACAACAAAACGATCGTGAAAAATCAATGAGCTAAAAGTGAGTCAACAAAGTTAAAATCTAGACAAAAGTCCAATCTGCATTAGACGATACTTTCAAAGCTATTTTCAAATTCTAGATCTCACATCTAATTCGGAAATTCTCATAGACTTAAGACTTACTTTCGTTAGCTATAAGTCTAATTAGACAACAACTATTAATAAAATCTAGAGCTCTAATTTCAGACACTCTATTAACAGAAAAGTATGGAAGTACATCACCTTACTCAGTGATTTCATATTTTACTCTGAGATGGTCAACCCTTTCTGATTTTTATATTGATATGAGTTGTTCTTGTACCAAACAGGTAACCATCCAGAGATACAAGAGCGTCTTTACCACGAAATAATTGAACACTTTCCTGGTGATACTCCGACTGACGACTTCGATAAAATTAATGCATGCACTTATCTCGATAAATTTTTAAAAGAATCACTTCGATTGAACCCACCAGTCCATTTTATTGGACGAGTTTTGGATGAAGATATTAAAGTTAACGGAACTAAGATTTTTAAAGATACAAACATATTTATTTGCATCACTTCTACTCACCGTGATCCAAGTATTTATCCTGATCCAGATAAGTTTGACCCTGAAAGATGGAACCCTGAAAATTCATCCAAAATACCTAAATCAGCGTTTATCCCTTTTGGTTATGGACCTAGAAACTGCATTGGCTATCGTTATGCCATGATGGAATTGAAAGTTTATCTCATTCACATTCTTCGTAAATTCAGTATGAAATCTACTCGAACATCCGAAAGTATTCCCTTGAAATCTGAAATATCTCTGAAACCAGCGCTACCTTTGGAGATCATATTAACAACACGGCATAACATTAACCAGGAAATGAAGGATCTATAGCTCAAGATGAGACAAGTTCAAGAACTTTTTAAACCATTGGAAATAACCCGAATTTAACCAATATGCATTATGTATTCAATGTATTACGAATTAATGAAATAAATAATGATTTAAATTGAATGATTGATTACGATCACAAAAGAGTAAGGAAAATACATTGACATGTGATATAGTTCCATATAATCAGATGGCAGCATAATAAATGATAATTGGCAATGTAGAGCCTAATGACTGATTAAAACATATAGGTGAAATTGAAGAAATGTCGGGAAAAGTGGGATTAAAATGGTGGAGTTGCAGATTCAGTGAACTTGTTTAAACAGGGAGTAAAATTATTAGTGAAAGCAATTGCTTTTTTCAATGTAAATTTACAATGTTTTTTTGATAAAAATGAGTCAAATTTCGAACCTTATTAGATTCTCTCATGTGAACATCAATCTATACCTGTCCTCAGAATCTGATGATCGCTGAGAAATTCATGAAAATAGAGACTGGTGGAAAAATGTAGAATCCGTATTCAATAACATTGTGTAAGGGGTAAAAATTGTATTGTTATCAAATAAATCATTTCAATTTCCATTTCTTTTTCATTGTTGAACAATTTGTTGGTTCATTACCATTATTACGTTTTACGTTTTTTATCATTGATTAACTTGCTTAGCGAGTAAACAATTTGATCGCTGGTTCCAAGCTTTCACCTCTCAACTTCTCCCTTGACCATCATTATATTGATACTGACCACCTTATTGTCCACCACTCAACCTAACACATCCACCACATCCATCAACCACATCAAACATTACTCTTTAAATAGACTTTTCTCGCCAAAATTGTCCAAAACTTGTATACAACTCTACAACCAAATTAAACTGTAAAAAACATGCCAGTAAATATGGCCAGTTTGAATAATTTTTACAGAAAGCTAAGGAAGCGAAGTTAGATACTTGCAAGGCTTCTGATGGATGAATAAAGCTTTTCAAAAAGAAAAATCATATTGGTGACAGAAGAGTTACAAAATTTGTAACTTTCAATCAAGAGAGGAAGCAAGAAGAGATTGAAATAGCTGCTTGCCAGTTTCTAAAGGATTTTGAAGAGCAGATAGTTCCTCAATATTCGGCTTTTACAATCTTTAACACTGACCAAACTGGTTTCAATTACGAAATGCACCGAGATATCTGGTATCTGTCTGATATTGACGAAAGATCAACTATTGTTAGATCAATTAACTCAAGAGCTGTTTCTCATTCGTAAACCGTACAACCGATCATTAGTATGTCCGAAGAGCTAGCTAAACAGTTCATGATCGTGTTTAAGGAGCCCTCTGGTACGTTTGGTCCACGCGTGCTGGAGAACATGGTTAAGCCTTCAAATGTTTTTATTACGTGCACAAAGTCCGGTAAAGTTGATGTACCAACACTTTGCAACTGGACCATAAAATGTTTATCTCCAAATGTTGAGGACAAGGCCTGTTTGTTAGTTGATTCATTCAGTTCACATAGAATCAATGAGATATTCACCTTACCAGAAGAGGAGTAAATGTTCGAATTTTTGCTCCAGGATCAACGCCACTCATTCAGCCTCTGAATGTACTTATATTCAGACAGTGGAAGCTTTTTGTCGCAAATTTCTCCGCACGGATTCTTCTAGATGGCCTTGATATTGATTTACACAATCGAAACACCATTATCAAGCTTCATTACCTAATTCATAACCAACTTTCAGCTCCTCTGTTCAAGCCTATTATTCTCAATTCATGGGCACGAGCAGGTTACCCAATAGAGAAAACATTTTAAAACACTTTTATTGACAGTATCTTTGATGAATCTGGATCTTTTTGTAGCTCATCTGATTGCAACTATGCATCCTTTATAATGTGCGCATATTGTGCGTCTCATTTTTGTCTAAACCATTTTTTGGCCCGCCATTTGCACTAAAACATAGTTTGAAATGAAGATACATTGATGATTACACGATTTTACCATTATTATATATATGCAATAGCTATATCTAACATTATTATAACTTCTTAATAACAGCGCGTTGGCACCTATTTTTCACATATACAAACAAGACTTTTTCTCCTCTTTCCATTACTATATAGTTTATATATACCCCTAATTTACAGTTCGTGACCTTCCCTTGTGAGTAAATGTCTCATTTGGATAGTCAATGCTATTTCAATGAAAATGTCTCATTGGGATCGTCAATGCTATTTCAATGAAAATGTCTCACTGGGATCGTCAAAGCTATTTCAATGTAAATGTCTCATTGGGATTGTCAATGGCATTTCAATGTGAATGTTGTACTGGGATCGTCAATGTTATGTCAATGTAAATGTCTTATTGGGATCGTCAATGCTATTCCAATGTAAAAGTCTAATTGGGATCGTCAATGCTATTTCAATGTAATTGTTGTATAGGGACCGTCAATGTTATTTGAATGTAAAAATCTCATCGGGATCGTTAACGTTATTTCAGTGAAAATGTCTCATTGAAATAGTCAATGTTATTAAAATGTGAACATCTCATCGTGATCGGTAATGTTATTTCAATGTAAATGTCTCATTGGTATCGTCAATGTTATGTCAATGTGAATGTTGTACTGGGAGCGTCAATGTTATTTCAATGTAAATGTCTCAAGAAGATCGTTACTGTTATTTCAATGCAAAAATCTCATTGGAATCGTGTATGTTATTTCAATGTAAATGTCTCATTGGGATAGTCAATGTTATTTAAATGTGAACATTCCATGTGAATGTTGTACTGGGATCGTCAATGTTATGTCAATGTAAATGTCTCGTTGGGATCCTCAATGCTATTTCAATGTAAGTGTCTCATTGGGATCGTCAATGCTATTCCGCTGTAAAAGTCAAATTGGGATCGTCAATGCTATTTCAATGTAATTGTTGTATAGGGACCGTCAATGTTATTTGAATGTAAAAATCTCATCGGGATCGTCAATGTTATGTCAATGTAAATGTCTCATTGGGATCGTCAATGCTATTTCAATGAAAATGTCTCATTGGGATCGTCAATGCTATTTCAATGTAATTGTTGTATAGGGACCGTCAATGTTATTTGAATGTAAAAATCTCATCGGGATCGTCAATGTTATGTCAATGTTAATGTCTTATTGGGATCGTCAATGTTATGTCAATGTAAATGTCTCATTGGGATCGTCAATGCTATTTCATTGAAAATGTCGAATTGGGATCGTCAATGCTATTGCAATGTAAATGTCTCATTTGGATCGTCAATGCTATTTCAATGTGAATGTTGTACTGGGATCGTCAATGTTATGTCAATGAAAATGTCTCATTGGGATCGTCAATGCTATTTCAATGTGAATGTTGTACTGGGATCGTCAATGTTATGTCAATGTAAATGTCTCATTGGGATCGTCAATGCTATTTCAATGTAAATGTCTCATTGGGATCGTCAATGCTATTCCGCTGTAAAAGTCTCATTGGGATCGTCAATGCTATTTCAATGTAAATGTCTCATTGGGATCGTCAATGCTATTTCAATGTTAATGTTGTACTGGGATCGTCAATGTTATGTCAATGTTATAATCTCATAAGGATCGGCAATGCTATTTCAATTTGAATGTTGTACTGGGATCGTCAATGTTATGTCAATGTAAATGTCTCATTGGGATCGTCAATGATATTCCGCTGTAAAAGTTCAATTGGGATCGTCAATGCTATTTCAATGTAATTGTTGTACTGGGATCGTCAATGTTATTTGAATGTAAAAATCTCATCGGGATCGTCAATGCTATTTCAATGTAAATGTCTCATTTGGATCGTCAATGCTATTTCAATGTGAATGTTGTACTGCGATCGTCAATGTTACCCAATGTAATATCTCATAAGGATCGGCAATGCTACTCAATCTGAATGTTGTATCGGGATCGTCAATGTTATGTCAATGTAAATGTCTCATTGGGATCGTCAATGCTATTCCGCTGTAAAAGTTCAATGGGATCGTCAATGCTATTTCAATGTACTGTTGTATAAGGACCGTCAATGTTATTTGAATGTAAAAATCTCATCGGAATCGTCAATTTTATGTCAATGTTAATGTCTTATTGGGATCGTCAATGCTATTTCAATGAAAATGTCTCATTGGGATCGTCAATGCTATTTCAATTTGAATGTTGTACTGGGATCGTCAATGTTATGTCAATGTAAATGTCTCATTGGGATCGTCAATGCTATTTCATTGAAAATGTCGAATTGGGATCGTCAATGCTATTTCAATGTAAATGTCTCATTTGGATCGTCAATGCTATTTCAATGTGAATGTTGTACGGGGATCGTCAATGTTATGTCAATGTAAATGTCTCATTGGGATCGTCAATGCTATTCCAATGTAAATGTCTCATCGGGATCGTCAATGCTATTTCAATGAAAATGTCTCATTGGGATCGTCAATGCTATTTCAATGTAAATGTCTCATTGGGATCGTCAATGCTATTTCAATGTGAATGTCTGTACTGGGATCGTCAATGTTATGTCAATGTAAATGTCTCATTGGGATCGTCAATGCTATTTCATTGAAAATGTCGAATTGGGATCGTCAATGCTATTTCAATGTAATTGTTGTATAGGGACCGTCAATGTTATTTGAATGTAAAAATCTCATCGGGATCGTCAATGTTATGTCAATGTTAATGTCTTATTGGGATCGTCAATGCTATTTCAATGTAAATGTCTCATTGGGATCGTCAATGCTATTTAAATGTGAATGTTGTACTGGGATCGTCAATGTTATGTCAATGAAAATGTCTCATTGGGATCGTCAATGCTATTTCAATGTGAATGTTGTACTGGGATCGTCAATGTTATGTCAATGTTATAATCTCATTAGGATCGGCAATGCTATTTCAATTTGAATGTTGTACTGGGATCGTCAATGTTATGTCAATGTTATCATCTCATTAGGATCGGCAATGCTATTTCAATTTGAATGTTGTACTGGGATCGTCAATGTTATGTCAATGTAAATGTCTCATTGGGATCGTCAATGCTATTT